GAGAATTTCTTAATGCTTTCAGCAAAATCCCATAATGGTGTTTTGTTGGCCTAGCTTGGGTCAATGTGCCTTCTTACTGCACCAATTACTGTGACCAAGAGAATGAAATGCTCTGACTGGTTAGACCTGGGTCATGTGCCCTCCCCCCACCCCACCAGTGGTCCAGTTCCACCCAAAGTTCATGAATCAACATGGATTATTCCTCCAAGGAATGAAAATACTATTGTCAAAGAATGGGAGGAATGGATTCTAGGTAGGAAAAACATGACCATCACACAATGCAAAGCAAGATAAATTCAATGGAAAGAACAGCCTGCGGCTAGTGCCTTCAAAAGGGCTTTGCAGGGCAGCACAAGAGTGTCCTGGACACCTCTCCAGTTAGCCCAGCTCAACCCGTTACATTTCTATGGGAGTATCATGTTACTTGCCCCCCTTTCCTCAGCTCTAAAACAAGTTGCTTGTTCTATGTGACCTCTTAATCAACAGCATTCACTTCTCAGGTATTTATTTAGCACTTATTGGATGCTAGGCACTGTTCCTGATACTTGAGATAAATAGAATGGTGAATAAAATACACAAAATCCCCTGCTCTTCTGGAAATTACATTTTTGTCAGGGAGGAGACAAAAAATAAACAAAAGAAATCAGTCCTATGTGTTATGAAGGGAAATGCAAATGGGCTGTTGGGAGCTTTCACATTTAAAGAGGTGGTCAGTGTAGATGAGGCAGGTAGTGTATATGGGATGTGCTCAGTCTATGGTATCTATTGTTCTCACTATCATTACTACTCTTATTTTATTTTTTATTATTTTATTATAATTATAGTATTATTTATTATTATAACTAATGCATATTAATAGCATTTGGTGACCCCCTTGAAGTCTCCGGCATTAAGTATCGACAGCTTAGCATATAAGGCCCTCTGCAGTAGGTCCTAAGCTATTTTTTTGATTGTGATATAATTCACATACCACAACATTTACCCTTTTAAAGTGTACAGTTCAATATTTTCAGTATGTATCTAAGGTTGTGAGACCATCACTACTGTCTAATTCCAGAACATTTTCATTACCCTGAAAATGAACCCCAAACCCATTAGCAATCATTTCCCATCCCCCCTCCCCTCAGCCTCTGGCAACTACTAATCTACTTTCTGTCTCTATGGGTTTGCCTATTCTGGACATTTCATATAAATAGCATCATATGATATGTGGTCTTTGGGGACTGGTTTCTTTAATTTAGCACAATGTTTTCAAGGTCTCCATGTTGAGAAATGTATCAGTCCTTCACTTCTTTTTATGGCTGAATGGTCCCTAAATTATTTTCCTAGCCCCATTTCTCATTATTCCCCATTCAAGCCCTGAGGCTGAGCTGCGCTAGACTACTTGTTCTCCAATCACACGCTGCCTTCGTTGTGGTTTCATTTCTTTTTCTTGGCATGGTTATACACCCTCCTCAGACCTCTGCCTGTCCATGTAGGCCTCTAACAGTTGTCACCACTTCATGAAGTGCCCTGAGTGTTCTTTCACCCCAAAGGATCCTCTTTCTCCTCCTCACACTTTGCTTTTATTTTCTCTATATATTTACTTAATTTTAACCCTCCTACTACACTGTGACTGCCTTGAAGGGACCAACCTTAGCCCAGAGCCTCAGATATAACAAGTGCTCCCCAAATATTTGTTCACTTATAAGGAATTGGTATAACCCCGTGTTTCTAAACTGAGACTGACTTTGCCCCCCAACCCCAACCTCCAGGGGACATTTGGCTATATCTGGAGACATTTTTGATTGTCACAACTAGGGGGTGAGGTGTGCTACTGGCATCTAGTAGGTAAAGGTCTGGGATGCTGCTAAATTCCCTCCATTGCATAGGACAACCCCCCACAGCTAAGAATCGTCCGGCCCAAAATGTCAATAATGCTAAGGTTGAGAGACCTTGCCATAAACAAATTAATTCTTTGAATAGGTTAGCAAAAAGAAATCAGACAAGATCTGCGTACCAGTCCGGCAGAAAATCTCATTAGGGATTTTGTGTGTGTGTGTGTGCTTTTTTTAGGAGCTAGGGGTGACTCTAGTGCAAAGCTCTTTCCTAATGCCATAGAGGTGCCCTGGGAGCACAGATGGTATTTTCACCACTCGCTCGCTTCTGAGAGTGACAATTGACCTCCCAGGAATCCTTGAAGTGCTAGGAATGTAACTCGGCTAAGGAAGAAAACTCATAGGGTTTTTTAAGTCTAGCAAAATGCCACAAGTGAATTGTGCTCCTAGGGGAGGGCACGGGAAGATGGTTTTTGTTTCTGGTTTTATTTTTTTTCCCAAGTAGCCTCTTCTGGCTACTGGGGTATTGCCATGAAGTGAAACTTTTCTTAATTGCTCTGGAATAAATGATTCAAGGGAACCTGAGACCCTATCTCCTCTCTTTTCCAAAAAGTGCAAAGGAGCTTTGAGAAAGGATTCTGTTCGCATTGTGCTCCAATGAGCAACTCATTTGCTGAAAACTCATTTGCAGGAAATTCAAGGCAC